GACAAAAGTATAGGCTCAGGGTGGCGAAGGTTTCGGGCCAAGGACAACTGCAGGGTCGACTGATCCGGAAGTTTCACACTGCGTTTTTGTTCAAACCTGATTTCGACTCCTCTGGTCCACATCCTTGACGATCGCTACGATGGACGCACATTGGAACATATTGGAACCAATACTACTGGCAGCAACACTCGCAGCAGCAGCAGCAGCAGGCCTACCAACCACTTGGAGGCCATCGCACACCCAGTCACACTTACGGGCCTATGCCCCACGCCATCCGCACCCACCAATCGCACCAACATCACGCATGGAAACCCTTCCCCAGGGCCACATTCACATTCACCGGCCTCATCATAGCCGGACTTCCCCCCCGCCACCCTCTCGTTCCCAACTGTACCAGCCCACCACACTGACACCTCTTCCCCTCCACCACAGCCCACAGTTCCCTCCACAACCACAAACTTTTCCGCGTTCCGCCCCATCCAGCCCACAGCCTGGTGCCGCAAAGCGGGCATCGCAGGGCTTCCCACTTTTGCCGTCTACCCATGGTTGCTTGCATACCATGGCACGGGTAACTTCACGGCCCGGACCCTTAGTCATGGACAATATTGCGGGCTCATCCCCACCAGGAGCATCGCAGAATCCGCCTTCACACACCTGCTGCAGGAGATCACTCCTGCTGCGGGAGATCACAACGGATTGATTTGGATGCAACAACAGAAACCGTACACCGCAGCAAAGGGACTGACATCCCCAACAAGACGCCCCAAGCACGTGCCTACTTGCCCCAGTCATAGGACTCTCATCACTCAATTCACCGCACATGCGCCCCCAACAGCCGAGAGCTCTGCTCTTCGAGAACTCAAAGCCAAGATGAAGAACTCCAGCAAGCGCAGGCAAGACTGGCCACGCGCGGCCTCACTCCCACACCCCGCAAGGATTCCAAGCACCGATCCGCCATCAGCATACCACATCGTGAACGCAATCGCCGAGCCAAGCGCAAACAACTCCAAAACAACCTTCCAATTTCAGCAGAACTCTCTCTTCGCTACTGGCGCAACCACAACATTATTGTAGACCAGTTTACTACCATCCAACTCTCGCCCCACGACACCTACGACCAAGCGTGGGTCCACGAGCACAACCGCATCTCCAATTGGATGCCTCCCTTCAACTGGCCTTTCATTTCTCAGCACCTTAAATTGAATGCCCAAGGATGGTAGTTCACCAGACAACGAGCACATTTCTACTCCCGCCTTGCCACACGCAAACGCCTTTTCCAAAGGCTCCGTCGTCGACAAAACGCTTTACGAGAACCACACCTCTTTACGAGAACCACACCTTTTCGGGCAAGCCACCTCTCGTTGGAATGACGGGCAAGCCACATCTTGTTGGAATGAGGGGCAAGCCACCTCTGGTTAGTTTATAGGATCAATGGCAAGGTTCCTGTCAATATTTTCACCTCTTAAAAAATGCAGGCAACTAATCAGGGGCAAGCCACCTATAGAATGAGGGGCAAGCCACCTCTAGTTAGTTTATGGCAAGATCAATCAGTGTTGAATTTTTTAAGAACAACCATAGAGAACCAAGAAAGTTACTACTTGTGAAATACAGTATTGGTATGGCCCAGGCAATACAAATCCAGGCAACCTCTTGATTACTTTTGGAAGATATCCTCAGACGACAACACACTGTAATACCCAAACTCTTGTTTTCATATAGGAAAAAAGGACAATTCTCGCGATAAAAAGGGCGATTCTCGCGAACAAAGATTAAAACATCACGCTACGCAACCTCACCAAACACACTGCCGACTCCATTGAAGCTGCCAAACAACCCCGCAGCTGTCGCCAGGCCATACAGATCTTGAACTCTATGCCATCTGCCGCATGGCCTCCAACCTGGAAGAACCAGGCCGTGCCAAAACGCTGCAGATTATCCACAAAGCGATGCTGTATCGCAACCTCACACCACCACGAACCAACATCCCTCTCACCATTCCATTTTTGGCACATGACTCTTTCAACTCCAACACCCAACGATGGCTCCAATCCCTCATTTGACAAGACCTCCCTCACGCCATCCCCCTACATGTGCCCACCTGCCGGCTGCGTGAAGCCGCCCGCAGCACCCTCCGCAGCCAAACCATCGTCGTCGGGAAGAAGCCATGCCCGTACTAGCCAACCACATGAAAACGCTACTCCTGGATCCCACTCACCCCACCACAGACGGACACTACATCCTCACTCTTGACAACAGCACTTTCTCCCCCACAAAAGCCCGATAGTATACCCCGCCTTTCAAAGAGCCTTCCGGAACTGGCTCAGGACCCAGGGTTTCCCCCTCACCCTTGTACAACACCCCGACACCTCTTCCAGCAATAGTGGCAACAACACACCCATCACCTCAAGCAACACCCCTGCTTCACAGCCAGACCCGCCCGCCAACTCCAGGAATACCTCGGCGACAAAGCAGTTGCTCCGAATCTTTTGTCCTCAGCAATACTTTCTCGGCGCCCCCAAAACCTGGCGCTCACCGGAGCTCTTTCAACCCATTCAACATCACCGAGCACCTTTGAGCGACAGTGCCCACCGGCCTCCGCGCACGCTATAAGTGGGGACTCCGCAAGGATTTCGCCATCCCCTGTGGCATTGTATACCTCAAAGAGAAGAACGAATGGCGGAAAGGGCAGAAAGGCAGAACCATCATTTCCTACTAGTACTCCCTGGCTGGCAACCTTCTCCGCGTCACCAACCGAGCCATCGACATTATCCTGCAGCACCTTTACCCACAGCATCCCGGACAACTTTCCATCCCGCAACTCTCGCAACACTTTCACGCATACCTCAACAACGTCCCTGCTGACATTACCCTCCACGCTACCAACGATGCCCTGGTCGGACTCCTGGTCGGCTTCTTCAACTCTGTTGTTCCACAACGCCGACTGCTCGAAGCCGTTCACAGCCTGATCCACCATTGGCAACAACAACAACAACAGCAATAACTGCTGATTTTCGCGAGATTATTTTTTAATGGTCAGCGTGTAGCTACAGGGATTGGAGGGGAGGGGAGACCGTGTTTTACGTCAAAGCAAGCCCACACGTCAATAATGCCAGGTTCGGAGTGGAAATGTCATGGATTCAAAAAATCAGAAAGATATATCAAGATTCTTCGCAAGAACACGGGGCAAAAACTCAGAACAAACAACAAATGTAGGCCAGCGCATGCCAGCGCCGTGGATTTTCGGTGTCCGCGAGCTTCCGTGCAATCCGCGCTCACCATCCAACGCCACGCGTTGCCCAAAAGACCAGATATATAATATATATCCCGCCCGCCATGAGTCCAGTGCTCATTGCTGAATTCCTTTTCTCGGGCCAGAACTTTGTGACTGTGAGCTGAAGCTTCAAGACGGAGATACAAGTGCCAGACACGAGGAAACAGGATGCAGCGTAGGGAATGCCTTGCTTGGTGGCCTCTGAGCGCTTCCTTGACAGCCGTGCGCAAGGTTGATCTTCAGCTGCTCAAGGTTAATTGCAAATAGGATGTGCCAGAATTATAGGGTCAGTCCACCGATCCGTTGTTCGGGCAATGGATGGGTCCTGCCCGCCGAAATTGTTTGGATGAAAGCTTGAACCTGTCTTCCGACGAATTCCGACGAACTCCGACGAATTCCGACGAACTCCGACGAACTCCGATGAATTCCGACGAACTCCGACAAACTGTGATGAATTCCGACGAACTCCGACGAACTATGTCCTTCTTGGATGACCGGCCCTGCTTGCATCTAGATAGCACAATTGCACTACATACGTGCTACATAGCAAGTGGGCTATGTCAAGTTAGCATGTGTGCTAACATTGGTTAGCAGAGTTAGTATGTCGGATAAGTTTGCTAAGTTGTTGACAACAACTTGGCAAACATGCTATTTACATACTGTTTACATGCATGTGGAAAGTATGTAGGCCATCTAGATGGCCTACATAAGGTCTACTTGCGGCGAACTTGGGATCTAGATAGAGCCTACTTAGCTAAGTAGGCTATGTAGATTGGAGTGTACATAGCAAACTTAGCTATGTACGCTTAGCCTACATAGCTATGTTGGCTAAGTCGGCTAAGTTCTGGTTGGCGGGCCATGCTTCAGTTCTTAAAAGGAAAACGGAAACGATACACTTTTCGTGGCAGAGTCTGATAAATATGTGCTAAATTCATTTTCCAATATAGAAGCAGAACCAATGTGAGGGCACCATGCAGAGTCCACACAAACAACCGCATTTGGAAGCAAAGATCAGAAACAAAACGGCTCCATGTGTTTGACCTTTTGAGCGCGCTTCACATATATATTTGTATTTATATTTACAGTCTGTACGGAAGCATGTAAACTATTTTTGCAATATAGAAACGACACATGTTAACGTTTATTCTGGCGCCGCTGCGCATCACTTCATGTAACAGAGGTATGTTTTTGAACAAACCACATATAGAAGCAGAGATCAGAAACAAAACCGTGCCATGCGTTTGACCTTTGTACGGAAGCAGAGATCAGAAGTTTGACCAGTCAATGTTTGAAACATAAACGTTTGGAAAAAACGTCCGTATTCGTTCGTACCGCGGGCCCTCGATCCGGCGCGTTGGTCACTCGTGAGGCGTGGTGGGATCCGGTTTGGGAATCGTAGACAGATCGAAAGTCGTAGCCTTTTGAAGGTCATGCTGTTCAGGAGAGTGTTTTGGTGAGCCGCAGACTTCGAAAAACACTATGCAGACATGTGACTAAGGGTTGGAGCGACTAAACTTTGTAAGTGACTAAACTTTGTAGTCATTCTTCTTGCGCAGTCATTGCTTTCCAATGTTGATCGATTCAGAGGTTGTGCGGTTTTGCAGACACGTCACTTGAATGTTTACTTCCATCTCAACTGTTGGTTCAATTTTGCACGCAGGGCGTTCAACGCTCGTGTGTACGGCGGGTCGCAGGGCGTGCAACGCTCGCAGTGCCTGAAGTTGCTAGCATGGAAGCGCATGATGTCTCTGAGATAGACCCTTTGGTGAAGGCTGCGCAGTCACCTGGCGCACCCCTGGTGTCTTCGGTGAACAAGGTGCTGCATGCCTTGCAAGAGCGCCAGTACTTGCGGCACATGGTCATAGAGCCACAGTTCATCGGGATTCATCCTCAGAATCGTGATGGCCACGGAGTGGCTTGGCATGATTGTCACTCCCTCATGGCAAACATCGTTGACGTGGGCTTTGATGCCTCGATCACAAATTGCATTTGTGTGGAGACAGCTCCAGGTGATTCATCAGCCATTGCTTTCAACCAAGCTTTGTCAGTGGAGAGTGGTGGGAAACTGCCGGAGGTCCACCCACAGCACCTCAAGTTTTTGAGCCTGTCCGGAAGTCATTTGAACACAGCACTGCGCATGATCGGGCAGGGCACTCCATGCTCAGTGGAATCGGTGGCAATCGACGGCAAGGTGAACGTCCAGAAAGTTCTTCAAAAGGACGCTGCATACGCTGAAGCCAGCCGTGCAGGGTTGCGGTGGAAAGTTTTGTCTGCCGCAGTGCTCGCGCAGTGGCCTCAGCTGGCCTCTCTCATCCAGTCTGCTGCCAATACAGGCAATCACCTGGCTCGTGAAGAGCATGAGGTGCAAATCCTACTTCGAATCGCCAACAGGCAAGCCATTGCAGAGTCGTCAGGGACGCCCATCGAGTGGGAAAGGTTGAAGCCAGAGCTGGTTAAGAGCAGACCTCGATGCTCGAAAGCAATGCCGGCCATGTTCACGTTTTTGAGGCTTTCGGCGGCGGTCAAAAGCTGATAGACCGCACGAGTGCCTTGGTGAAAACATCGACTTCCGGGACAGATCGAAGCCTTGGCGTTGAGTTCTATGAATTGTTGGGCCAAGAGCCTCGACCCAAGGATGCAGACCCCTTTGTGCGGTTCAGGCACGCTCTCCTGGCTCTCGGGTATTCGTGCCCGGTGCCGCGCCTCATCACGGCAACCGACTGCCGACGGCTTTTCCAGAGGCAGTTCCAGGACGACATTGGCAAGGCCAATGAGCTCATGGGCAAGGTGGATGCATTGGTGGAGAAAAAAGTTGAGCACCGTCAGCGTCACCGGGTGTTCCCCGAGCAGTATCTCTTCGAGTGCCAGCTGGTGCTGCTGGCACTGCAGAAAAGGCACAGGGACATCGAGCTGTGTGACAGCATGGAGCACGCTGCCTTGGCTTTTTGCGAAGCTGTCCAAGAAGCAGTTGGGGTCACCCTCTCCAACGAGTGGGATGGCTTGAAGACCCCTCCCAAGAGTTCAGCCCTGACGACAACAGCTGTGGCAGCCAAGCTGAGGGAGTTTGATGCCTCAGGGCAACTGAAAGATCCTTCTATCCTTCTCCGGGAGGCAGGATTCTTGCCAGGCAAGTGGTTGCCAGGAAGAAAGACAAGTTGCAGGCTAAACTTGTGAAGTTTGAAGGTGGCAATGTGGTCATCGAGTATGATGGGGAGCAGTATATGGCCACCATCTCAGCTTTTCTCGAAAATCAGTGGAAGCTGATCGATGAACCCAAGACCCGAGAGGCGTTGGACCATGTCGCATTCGCCAGCTGCAACAGCTATGACATGATAGTGGCTGGAACAAAAGGGAAGATTGTAGAGAAACTCATGGAGCTGGAGAAGCAGCACAAGGCCTCCTTGAACAAAGTCCAGGTGTACCTGAAGCCACCCAAGACCGTGGAGGCCACTAGCGAAGTGGCCGTGGGAAAGCTGGTGTTGGTACCAGCCACACCCGCCATTCAGGCGCTTCAGGTCGACAGCCGATCGAAGCCAAAAGGATTGAGCCTGGGCAAATGTGGCACAAACAGTCACAGCTTCTACTTGACCCAGGTGGTGCAGGTTCCAAAGGATGGGAAGGGCATCGTTGTGCCTTTCTGGTTTGTGAAGGGCACCTCCGACCCGGACAAGGCAAACGTAGAGATCGTCAACATCGTTGACCCAGGGGATGAAAACAAAGGTTTGAAGCACATACCATTGATGAAAAATACTCGAGCCCTTCAACAGGGCGATGTGCTCCTGAAATTCGATGAGGCCCGAAATGATGACACTCCTGATGAATTGGTCCCTTTCGCCAGCGCAGTCAAGAGACGTAAGACTGGCAAAAAGCCTGAATAGTTGCGCGTGTCTCTGCCGCTCGCATTTTTCCTGACTATATATATTATACTATATGTAGTTATAGTTATATGCTATATGTAGTGATACTATATGTAGTGATATACTCAAACAACTGTTGTGCGAGTTTACTTTGTTTTCCCCGGCATGAGACTGCTGCAGAGGCCTTCCGCTTACGGTGTTTCAATCAGGATCGTCAAAAGGAACTGCCGAACGCACACATGTTTTTGGAGAGGCTTTTCTGTTTCCAGATGAGCGAGCCATTCATGAGCCCTGCTGGAGCGAGTCTTTTTTCTAAATATAGACCCTGCTTCGTGTGTAGTAAACTGTGGACATGTGACAAGGAACAGTGCAACAATTGCAATTGTTTGTGTTAGTGTTGATGCTTGGCACTGCAATGCAGGTGCATGGCCACATCGAGCCAGCGCAAGACGAGGCGAGACCAGCCGCCTTCGCGCAGAGCCGCAGAGTAAGTCGTTTGAGCGGATTGGTAGGCTGTAGACTGGACTATCCATTGTTTCTGGCACACAATGTGGCAAGGGTCATTCCACGTAAGTCACACGTGTATCCTTTGTAGGTCAAGCATGTGGGCCTCGAGTCATTTGAAGTGTGCATGGGAAGCTGCAGAGTGCTCTCAAAACGTTTTGTTTTTGCTTAGCTTCAACCGTATCATTCGTTCCAAGTCCCATGCAGCGTGCCGATGGCATTTCGGGTGGGGCTAGTTTGGAACATGAACTCCAAATCGACAAAGAAGCTGGGAAGGATGATGGCTTGAAAGAGAACGACCTCATGCATGCCAAGGCTACCTCCCACAAGAGGCAGCACGAGTTCGCTCAATCCGGGGCTGATCCAAAGCCTGAAGCATGTGAGCCATCTCCAAAGCGCACTCGGAGGTGCGTGCATCCGGCGCCAGTTGTTGAGGGGCTGGCAGCTGCAAGCACGCCGGTTAACCATATTGGACCCACAACCAGCGAAGATGATGGGCGCGACTCTGAGAAGACATTGATCTTGGGGCAGACTTCTCCCTAGGTATACGTGTCAACTCACTTGTGCACAGCTGAATGAGTTTTTGATATGACACGCGACAAGCGCAAGGCCCAACAAAAGAGTTGCAGTGTGCGGCAGCAATTGTCCAACCAGACAGCAGTGAGTTTAGACTGACGTCTAATTTGCAGCGCAGTGTCAGCGTCATGTGTTCGAAAGTATCTTAAATGTGTGATTTTCACACATGCATGGTCATGACCTGCAAACCACTTCGACACGCCTTTGTTTTATGCAATGTAGTGCAGGGCTTAAGCAAAAGCTCGCTCGACTGCAGGGCGTACACCCCAATACGCTCGCAGTGCCATGTCCCGCCAACCTGACAGTGATTCAGAGAGCGTCGAAGCCCATGGTGTGACGATTTCTTCGAGGTATGTCGTGCAGGATGGCAAAAACAAACCATGGCTGCCTACGACATTGACCAAGATGGACAAGACCTTTTGCAAGTGCTCCAAATTCGACCGCGGCTTTGTGATGTTTTGCCTCGAAAGATCCATGCAAACTACCTCAAAAAAAGGTGAGGCCACCACATGCAACGTGCCTGTCTTCAAGCACCTTCTGGACGAAAGGCGCCGGAAGAGCATTGAATGCGCTCAAGAGGCTCTAGAGGTAGAGGACGTGCAGCCCGACGACTCCGTCGTGCAGAAGAGGAAAAAGATCAAGAGCTCCCATGAGGCCCTGGTGAACCCAGTGATCTCTGTGACGTTCCCTCCAGTTGGACACTTAGAAGCGCGAGAGGTCGATGTACTTTGGGGTGTCAAGTCAGCAGACTTGTGGGTGGAGCTGACTGGCCAAAACATGAAGCACACCAAGATGCTCATCCAGTCACAATCGGATCAAGTGTTTTGCAAGAAGAAGGCTTCTCCCAAAAAAAACAAAGAGAAAAATGAGACGGATGATCGGCCATATTGACGCTCCGCGCCACCCTGTGCCATCTCCACTTGGTGATACTATGCCAGATTCTCCTATGCCTCACGCTGCGATGCCCGAGACTCTCCAGTATGTAGAGGATTAATTGAAGCCCTTCCCTGAGCCCATGTTTGGTGGTCCTGTCTTCTGCTAGGACCTAGGATTCACAGTTTTGATTCAGTTCATGTGCGAGTCGTGTAATGACCCTGCTACAAATGGTGCGAGTTGTTTCTTGACAAACCCTGCAGCCGATGTTGTGAGGTTTGTGGATGTTTCGCAGTGGGGGTGTCAGAAATGCCAACATAGACACCTGCACTTTATGTGTTCCGGCAGGAATGTGTTGCATTCTATGAAAGGAAACCGTGCCACCTTCGTGGTTCAAGGCGACGCGTCTCCACATGTCACTATATAGGCTTAGTGGATGCATTGCGCGCAATACACACACACAGCGTGCCGTTTGGCCAGTGACACGGCCGTTTCACCAGTGACACGTTTCGGTGCACGCCATCAAGGGTTACACCGGATTTTTATTTACCCTGAACCCATGACATATGTTTCCTTACAAGATCCAGGTCCATGTATACTGGAATTGTTTAGACCATCATAGACCATCCCACCTTCATCTGGTGTGGTCTATCTGCTGGCCATGTCGCATGATGAGCGCTTTGCAACGCGGGCAGCAAAGCGCGGCAGATGGGCGGAGCCAGGCGAAGCTCTGACGCTCTTGACGAAGGCTTTGGGTTCCAAAAAAGGGTTGGTTCTGTGAAATAGGCCTTTATGTGTTCTCACTGCTTTTCAAAAGCCTTGCGCCTCTATTTGCACAATGTTTTTCAACAGCCTTGCGCCTCTAGACTCTGCGCAGGCGGAGGTCACCGAGCGCCATCAGCCTGAGGAAGATGAGAATGAGGAATGGGGAGAAGCAGCTGAGGTGGCTCGGTCGTGGCGAGATGGTTCACCTGAACATGGTGATGGAGAGCGAGCAGAAGGTGCCCCCGGCGAGGGTACCCATGGCCATGCGGAGGAGGAGGAGGAGGATGAGAACCTGCGGTATGAGGTGGAGGATGAGGACCACCCGACGGCTGCAGAAGGTGAAGGTCACGATAGTGCTCATGAGGAGGAGGAGGAGGTGGAGGATGAGCGATCGGATGAGCGATCGGAAGACAACAAGGGGAAGGGTGGCAAATCCTCCAACAAGGGGAAGCACAAGGGGAAGTTCAAGGGCAAGGGCAAAGGCGGCAAAGGTGGCAGAGGAAAGGGCAAGAATAAGGGCAAGCACCCTGGCACGAACACGAACAAGGATACGCGTGGTGCAGGGCAAAGCAATGCCAGCAGCAGCAACCCGCATGATTTAGATATGATTCGCAGACTTTTGTGCTTTCACCTAGCCCATGCAACCTCCACCATTCAGCAAGTCACCGTAAACGTATTCAAGAGGTGATATATAACAAGTCTTAAAGGAAACAGAATTGAAATCAATCGTAGCTGTCATAGATTACTGTGCAGAGCCCTTTCGAGCACCATGCGCCAAACCTACCTAGGAGGTGGCAGCAAGGGCCGGTCGGCGCCAAAGCCGTGGTGGGCATACCGTGGCGACAAGCAGAGCTCCAAAGCCCACCCGGTCGGCGAGCAGGATCGGTGGGGTGGCAGGTATGTGGAAGGCGGGTATGAGATCGATGGCCAATTCTTCCCGTGGCTAATCTATATTCAACACGTTTTGATAGATTGTATTGCATTGGGTGTGTGAGAGGAAACCCTGACACATGTTATTAATGGGGTGCATGTGCGTCCATAGATTAGTTGTGCAGCGGCTCAGCGGGTTGTTTATACTTTGACCATGTTTACAATCCAAGGCACAAAGGGCGCGGATACCGTGGCTCATATCGAGAGCGCACGCCGCCCAGGTTCGGCCAGGGAAGGCAGCGGTCCAGAACGAGGGGAAGCGGCGGTGGCGGCGACAATGGTCAACATCTTCAATGGAAGGCGATGTCGGACTTGGCCAGCGTTGCACGGGCCGCCATTCAGGGACAGGGTGGACATCCGCACCACTAGGTTGTGATACAGCTATAGTACTGATATCTATAAATGCACCACTAGGTTGTGATACAGGTATAGTACTGATTCAGTACTGATATCTATAAAGGCACCACAGTACATGCGCATGCAAGCTGGTCACGTTAAGTTCAGACGATGGTTTGATGAAAGCGGAACACCACCCTGTTGGCGCTTCATGGACTGGGTTCCCAATGAGCAACCCGCGCCGGAGCTAGGGCGAGCGCATGCTGCATGGTTGCATGCAGGCTGATGCCAGGCATACGGATATTCTAGATGCACAAGTGCGTACCATGCGGTGTATACAATGATGGCCATGGCCTCACCTGTAGTGCAATCGCATGTGAGGTGGTTGGTAGTCACTCTCTCGAGAGGCCGGAGACATTTTTATGGGTGGTGGAAAGATGGTCGCGGATACCTCGCGATGCCGCCTCCCCTTTGGTGTGAAACCTGAATGAATGAACAAGACACACCCTGGTGATGATTGGATGATTGAATATGTGAACACACCACGGCAAAAATGTCTCTGAAGCTTCTCATGGTCTGTAGGGCGACAGCGACTGCAGTAGCTTGCTCCAATCCGTGAGGTTGCATGCATTCATTGCACTTCGGGAGAACCCCCATGCCTGCGAACGTGTCGAGCAACCTCACGTAGCGTGACCTGTTTCACCAGCATAGCCTTGAACTGAGTGGAAACATTTGTGCACAGGAAAGCAATCACTGTTTGTGTTGGCCGACATAGTTCACACAAACTCCTAGCTACATCAATAATGTTTCCATCGACTGAACATGTGACAAGGCAATCAGGAGAGAAGCTATTAGGATTCTGAGAGTTGTTGTTCAACATTGTGGTTCACATTACAGTTGTCAGAATTTTGTTGTTCAATTTTTTTTTGCTAGTTTGATGATCAATATTTTGTTGTTCAATATTCTTTTGCTAGTTTGATGATCAATATTTTGTTGTTCAATATTTTTTCGCTAGTATGATGGTCAATATTTTGTTCTTCAATATTTTTTTTTTGACAATCTGGCTGTCAATTTTTTGTTGTTCAACAAAATTTTGATACTTTGGGTGAACTCCTTGTACAGGCCTCGTCACACAGTCTGCACTGCTTGATCAGAGAGCCGTGAGGATTCCGGACAAAAAAAACACGAAACCGTGTGTGGGCAGCGCAAAGGAAGCACACATATGTTTGTTCACGTTTCGTGGAAACTGGTTCGGACGCATGACCACATGTGGAGAGGGGAGAGGGTGCCGACACGTTTAAGGTGAGCTAGAAGGTTCCTTATATGGGTTCCTGTGAGTGTCTATGTGGACAGTTGTTTATGCTTTTGAGACCTGCAAACACGCCGATATTATATTTCTGGCATTAGGTGTGTTCCTTTGTAGGTAGTTGTCGGTTCATACCATGGTTCATACCATGCACTGGGTGGCAAACTGCTGTCCACGCAAACAATGCAACATGTGCAGTCCATGTATGTTGCGCATATTGTGATCATCCATGCAGTCCATGCATATCGTGCATTCCTCACAGTGCGCTGCCATCGTCGAGGTGTGCAATGAATTGGTCAAGTATGATGCATCTAACCTCTAAACAAGTTGTCTTGCATTCCACTCCATTATAGAAATGTAGACATGTGGAATTAGTGACCATTAATGGATTGACTCATGAGTCATTGCATGTGCATGCAGGGTGCTGCACACTCGCATGCACAGTGCAGGGCTACCTTTACTGCTCGCACGTGGCATTTGTGTAGTAGCAGTCTCAAATTGTGAAGCCTTCCTGCACTAGTTGAGACAGCACACCAGCAATGGCACATGAGGGCCGGTTCCAATACAAGGTGGGTGGTACAGACGGCCGACAAGGCGGCGGCTCTGACACTTCAGGGCTGGTCCAGATCGTGTCCGTCGGCATGCGAGCGGTTCAGGGAGGTTCTTGACGGAACACGTCCCATTGGAGCGGCATTTTACGTGACGACTTCGCCGTGCGTAGCGAAGAAATATTGGGTTGATGAAGTGCTCTGGGAGCACTCGTGCATTGTGCTGTCACGGCACGAGCAGGGCAAAGGCGGGCAGGCAGAGTTCATGTTCGCAAAGCCTATTGCCGATGTGGTGCTCACCATGGTGGCAGACCAGCGCGAGGATTCGCTGCTCACAGTGAAGTGCACCACCATTGGCGGGACCACGGTGTTCCATTCGGAGATGAGTGAGACGCCGACGCAGACGGTCCAAGAGGTGTACGAGGAGCTGAAGGGTGTCCTGCAAATGTGGTACCGCTACACCCATTGGGATTTGGAGTTCATGCGGCTGTTGTGGGGACACACCGAACTGAAGCCTCACTTTGGACAGTTTGGGAAGCTCTTGCACTCTGGAGGGCAGAGCGCTTCTGCGCCACAGAGGCAGAGCAACCGCCCAGCCCCCAAAGCTGCTGCGGCCAAGGGCAAGGGTGAATCTTGCAAGGTGCTGAAGCGCCCAGCCATGCTCAAGCGCCCCGCTGTGAAGCGCCAGGCCGTGAACTCTCCGGCCAATGACCAGTAGATGGCCGCGGTGCCCACTGTGCACCAGTGACCACTGTGCACCAGTGAAGTGGCTGCGTTGTTTTTGATGGTTTTTGATTGCAGCATTGATGGACATCACATTTTCAGCAACGACTAAAAAGAACATTGTCATCAGTCTCTGCACGTCAGACTTTGTCATCGTAGGTGGCTCTATGCTTATATTCCCCTCTCTCTCTATATATATATATATACTCAGTATACATACATGTACACCCTGTGGATGATGCAGCGATTCGAAGGTGAGGTGCTTGCATTAGTTTTGATGTTGGGTTGTGAGCTCCTCAACGCACCTGCCACAGCACAAGGCGAAACCGTGCACCATCTTTGCGCAGGGACACTCAGTGCTCAGCAGATCAACAATTGAGAAACCACTTTGCTATACATAAAGGTTTTTG